CAATATAGCTTTTTATGAAATCTATTTACTTATGTATGTTAGTAGATAAGTAAACATTTACTAGATCTTTTGACAATTCAAAAAACCACCACAGCCAAATTAAGATAAGGGTTTTATAAAAGTGTTAAAAGCTTCAGAAAAAATTTAAATTAACTAAAAGACATCACTAAATGCTCATAATGCTTTTTCAACCTGTTAACTGTATTAAAAGGGTTTATAAAACTTTTTCGGTTTTATAACATTCTTTAAAGATTTTATGATGGTTTTAAAGCTTATCAACAAATGTCTATCGTTTAACACTTTTGTCGTTTTTCAACTCCATTTGGTTGATTTTTCTGTTAAAAGTGCTTTTTTGATGTTTTTGGATGCATTTAATGCTTATTAACTCGTTTATGAGGTTTTTATGTTTCCAGAAAATTAAAAAGAGATTTTAACATTTTTTTTGTTGTTTTAAAACACTTCTCAAAGCTTTTGTTCATTTTAGAACTTGTTTTAGATACTTTTTTGAGTCTTTGACAGCTGTTTAATGTTTTTTTATAAGATTTTACAACATGCATACAAAAGGATTTACATACTTTTAATGCATTTTAACTCTTCATTCCTTTTTTTTATTACAAACGCTTTTCAACATTTTTTTGATGCGGTTAACCTTTTTAATTAATCATTGTTAACCATTTTAGAGAATTTAAAATGTTTTTTTACGCTTTTGTCTTGGTTTTACAACGGCTGTACATTGTTTAAATGCTTCTTAATGAATTTTCTACAATTTTATGACAGTTTCTTTCATAACGACGGTTTTTTGAGGTTTTTAACAGTTTAAAAAACCGTTTTAAAGCTTTTATGCAGCTGTTAATACTTTTTAACGCGTTTTCTGTTGTTTCTTTGTGTTGTTTTCTGGATGTTTTTTGATGCTTAGAATGCGCATTAATGCCTTTACAATGCATTTCTCACTCTGTCAATTCTTAAGGTTTGTAATTTTTATTATTTTTTAGGAGATACTTTATTCATAGCTGGTTGTGGTAGATTTTTTGAAGGAACAGCTGAACAGATGTATTCTGCACTAGTGGAAAAACTAGGAAATTTACCAGAGAACACACGGGTCTTCTGCGGTCATGAATACACATTACAAAATCTAAAATTTGCCAAATTTGTCGACAAAAATAATCAAGATGTACTCAAAAAGATAGAATGGGCGGAAGGGCAAAGGAAAAAAGGGCTACCAACTGTAAGTAAATAAGCTTAAATAAAGTTGGCAGTGACACATACTCATTTTTTATTTGTCTCTAGTTTTGATTGATATTAATATTTTTTGTAGGTGCCATCTACAATTGGAGAAGAAAAGATGTACAACCCATTCATGAGGGTGACTACAAGCGTGATCCAAAACCATGCGGAGTGTACTTCACCAATTGAAGCTATGAAAACCATAAGAAAAGAAAAAGATAATTTTGTTCCTTCATAAATATTAATGTGTTTCTCAACGTGATATTTTTTCTATTGTTTTTAATTTGCTGCAAATATACTTTTAGTTACGTCATATAATGTATTTCATTAAAAAAAAACCAAAAGTATGCCAAAAATTCTCATATTTTCAAACTAACAGAAGTAGTATTTACAATAAGCATGTTCAAGATCTCACGTTGTCAATGTGTTAAATGCGAAGAGCATCTTATACGACAAAAAAAATGTGGCAAAGACAACGAATATGCGTTGAAAATGCAATAGCAAGTTTTTACAAAGATTAGAAAGTGCCTAGTGCGACGAAGAAGCGTTGAAAAAGTGAAGGAAAAGAATCAAAGCAACTAAAAAGAATCTAAAGCAACAAAATAGCATTTCTTCTTTCAGTACCTTGTCCGATTATCGAACGTTGGCGATCGTATTGGCAATAATAACTTAGTTTACGGCGGCTCTAAATAAATTAGCAGTGGTCTGGTCTCTTTATACCATTCTCGGAGATTTCGGAGCCCGGATGTATTATGAGGTGTAGAAGGTTATCTCTCTGGATGTCTCATTACATGACCGAAATATTGTAACTTTCGAATTTTTATCGTTTTTGTTATTTCTGTGCTCTTTTTCACTCGATGTAAAACTATTTCATTTCTTATTCGATCAACCCAACTTATCCACAATACTCGTCGATAAATCCACATCTCAAAAGCCTAAATTTTTTTCATTAATGTCTCTGTAAGGGTCCAGCTCTCCATATCATACAGCAATGTGGAGAATATGTAGCAGCGTATTAATCTGATTTTAAGGTTTAACGTAATATCTCTATGAATTAGAATTTTCTTTAATTTATAGAAGGCAGCTCTGACTTTTTCAATGCGTATTCTTATTTCTTTATTTGTATCAAAGTTATCGTTAACGTTTGCACCCAAGTATTGTGGAAATATTATGGATTCTTTCTAACTCTATTCCATACGCTCTGATGTTCGTTGGTTGTAACTCCGTTTTGCTGACAACGATAAGTTTTTCCTTAGAAGTATTAAGTGTTAACCCATATTCATCACATGCTTCGGTTACCCTGTTTACAGGTCCTCGTTGGAAGTCATTGCAGGTCTTCTTCATTGGAGGCAATAAGTACCGTGTCGTCTGCATATCCGAGAGTGTTGACTTTAATGCCCGTATCTTCAACTAAGGCTTCTTTGAAAATAAATTCGGAGTAGATATTCAAAAGTAGAGGAGATAGAATATACCCTTGTCCCACTCCACGTCGTATTTCCACTTCCACTAAATAGCATTTAAACTGACAGAAAAGCATCTAAAAGGAAACCTAAGTGTTAACTCGGTATATCGCTTTGGAAAAGCAACGGAAAATCGTCTAAAAATAAGATTTTTAGTGTTAAAAGTGTCACAGGAAATATCTAGAGCGACGAATAAGCATTGGAAGAGCATCGAAAAACGACAAAACAGTCACATAAGCTACCAAAAGAACTGGGAAAACAAGTAAAAGTCTTGCAAAAAAAATGTCAATTGTGACAAAGAATCACTTATAAAACAAAGAAAAAGCATCTAAATCAACGAAAAAACGTCTAAAACGCAAATAAATCTGAATAGTGTCAAAAAACATTGAAAAATAGTTTAAAGCTACAATAAAATGTCAAGACCGTTGAAAAAGTAACGAAGGAAAGTCTGTGACGAAAAATCATCTATAATGACAACAAAAATCAAGAGCTATTAATGAGCATTAAAAGAAGAATTAAAAAACTCGGAAAGTTGCGAAATAATGTGAATTATGACGAATAAACATTTAAAGAACAAAAGAAAAGCATCTCTATAGTGATGAAGAAGCGTCTAAAACTTAAATAGATGTCAACAGTGAGGAAGAAGTGTCCATAGCATTAAATAACAGTTTAATAAAAAGTACTAATAAAATGTCAAGTACGTTGAAAAAGTAATGAAGAACAATCTATAATGACCAGAAAATTCAGGAGCGACGAATGTGCGTTGAAAGAACAACTGACAAGTTTGAAAAGATACCAGAAAATACGTGATTGTGACTAATCAGCATTCAAAGAGCAAATAAAAAGCATCTATAGCGACGAGAATGTCTAGAATGCAGATAATGTCAGCATTGACGAAAAAGTGTCAACAGCATTGAATAAGAGTTTAAAGTGACAACAAAATGTCAACGGCGTTGAAAAAGTAACAAAGAAGTCTAAAGCAACGAAAGAGGTTCTAAATAAAAAAAAAGTTTTAAGAGCAAGAAATAGACGTTGAAAGTACAAGTAAAAGGTTTTAAAAAGATACGAAAAAATCTCAATTTTGACAAATAAGCAGTTAAATAATAAATAAATATCGTCTAAACGTTAATAAATGTCAACCATGACGAAAAACTGTCACCAACATTGAATAAGAGTTTAAAGTGATAATAAAATGTTAACGACGTTGAAAAAGTAACAAGGAAGTATCATATGGCAACCAAATAGCGTCTTTAATGAGAAAAAAGTTCAAGAGTAACAAGGTATTCAGAGAGCAACTAAAAGCTTGAAAATATGCGAAAAAATACCAATTGTGAGCGAAAAAGTAATTAAAGAAGAAAAAATGCATCTACAGTTAACAAACAGTCTAAAACTTAAATAAACGTCAACAGTGACAAAAAAATGTCAACGAAACAATCTCAGTTTAGACAAATAAATATCAATAGTTACGAAAAATTGTCATTGAATTGCAATGCAAACAGCATTGAATAATAATTCAAAGTGACAATAAACTGTCAATGGCGTTGAAAAATTAACAAAGAAGTGACTAAAGCAACGGAAATAGCGTGTAAAATGATAAAACAGTTCAAGAGAGAGTACTTAGGCGTTCAGAGAACAACTAAATCGCTTGGAAAGATGCAAATAAATATCAATAGTGACAAATAAGCAATTAAAGAACAAAGAAAAAGTATCTATAGCGACGAAAAAGCGTCTAAAACGTCAATAAATGTCAACAGTGACGAAAGACTGTCAACAGCATTGAATAAGAGTTTAAAGTGAGAACAAAATGTCAACGCCGTTGAAAAAGTGTCAAAGAAGTGTCTAGAACGACGAAAGAGGTTCTGAAATGAAAAATAAGTTTTAAGAGTAATGAATAAGCATAGAAAAAAAACAAGAAATAAGAAAAAGGCTTAATATGATACAAAAAAATCTCACTTTTAACAAATAAGCAGTTAAACAACAATGAAATACTCTTTTGAACGAAAATAAATGTCAACAGCATTGAATAAGAATTCAAAGTGACAATAATAAGGCACCGAAATAAGACTAAAAATGACAAAAAAGTTCAAGAGCGAGTAGGCGTTTAGAGAACAACTAAAAAGCTTGGAAAGATGCGTAAAAATGTCAATTGTGACGAAAAAGCAATTAAAGAACAACGAAAAAGCATATATAGCGACTAAAAAGCGTCCAAAATGCCAATAAATATTAATAGTGACGAAAAAGTGTCAACAGCATTGCGTAAGGGTATAAAACGACAATAAAATGTCAAGGACGTTAAAATAGTGACGAAGAAAGATATAATGCGACGAACGAGCTTCTAAAACAAAAAACGTTTAAAAAGAAACGAATAAGCATTGAAAGAACAACTAACAAAGTTGTAAATTTACCAAAAAATCTCAATTTTGACGAATAAGCAGTTAAGGAACAAAGAAAAATCTTCTGAACGTAAATAAATCTCAATAGTGTCCAAAACATTTCAAGCGCATTGAATGAGAGTGTAATGTGGCAATAAAATGTCAACGGCGTTGAAAAAGTAACAAAGAAATAAGACAACATCTAAAACTTAGACAAGGAACTTTCCTTGTCTAAGGTCTAAAATAACAAAAAAACTTCAAGGGCGAATGGGCGTTTAGAGAACAACTACAACGCTTGAAAAAATACGAAAAAATGTCAATTGTGAAGAGTTAGCATTTAAAAAATAAAGAAAAAGCATCTATAGCGGCGAAAAAGAATCTAAAATGCAAATAAATGTAAACAGTGACAAAAGATTGTCAAGTGTCAAATAAGTATGGAAGAAAGGTTAGCTTTAAGGTGGCGATGAAGACTTCTAAAATAAAAAGCGTCTAAACTGTTAATGAATGTCAAAAGTCTAACAAACATTGAATAAAAGTTTGGAAATAAAATATCAAAAGAGTTAAACAAGTCACAAATAAGAGTTCGATGGTACGAAAAAGCGTCTAAAAACGATTAAAAGCTCATTACTTGTGAAAGTTTTGTATGATTTCATTGATTATTAAAAAAGTTATTAATTATAGAAGAAACCCATTTTTTTCAAATTAATTTTGAAATGTTTTTCTAGAGAAATTTCAAATTCACATTATCTCGTTCTCGAAAGGTGATGATTTTTTTCCACCTAATTTAAAATAAAATAATGACGCACCTAATTTTTTTATGATTCATGAGATACGACACCTTTCACGTTAACTTTCTCAAGTTCAATAACAAAATCATGCTCAGTAATTTTTAAAAAATTTAAATGATTTACACCTTTCTTGCTTGATCTAATCCTTGATTTATATAATTTACTTACATCCTTCAAATATTCCTATTGTATTTATAGTACACCAGATAGATCGTTGTCAAATTATTACCAAATAAAATATTAAAATGCTCATAATTTCACAAATATTTTGTATGACCCATTTTTGCGACACCCGATGCTAAATGGGAGCCCCGATATTTGGCAGTCTTAAAGATTATAGAGAACAATTATCTGATATACGTCATTACACAGACAATAGACATTTCGATTTAAAAGCTATAACATGTATCATAAATCATTTTTGTATTAACAAAAATATCGTCTCATTCTCTACATATTTTTCGAGTGATAAAAAAATGCGCACGTTTGTATTGAAATTTGAAAAAAGTTGGTTATACTTGGTTCTATATTATTATTTTGGATGCTTATTTGTGAAAACTGGACGTAAGTTACATCTTCAAATATTATTAAGGGGACTATTACTTTCTAAATAGGAAAGAAGTCAATTTTTAAATATTAAAAAAACTATTATAATATTTATGGTTATAAATTGTTTTATATAGTGTTCAGAAGGTTTTGAGATCCGCAACAAAAATTTTTCTTGCTATTTTTAGTTGTTTTTTACCACTATAGAGGGCGTTTCGAAAAGACGCCTGTTTTCGGGTTGAATTTACTCCTGTTCTAAAAAGGTGGCGTAGTGTTTTTCTTACCTTTTTTAAGGTTTATTTAGTAGTCATATCATCATCATAAGTGGCTCGACAATCCCTTGTGGATCTTGGTCTGCTCACAAAGAAGTCGCCACCCCTGTCGATTCCTGACAACTTCCTCCATCTATCTCTAACCCTTAGAATCTGTAGGTCTTCTTTCACATGATCAATCCATCTCCTTCGTGGTCGTGATTTACTTCTTGTACCATCTGATTTTGAAAATATAAATCTCTTTGTTTATTCGTAATCTGACATCCTAGCAATGTGTCCAGCCCATCTAAATCTCTGCTATCTATCTATCTATATCTAATCAGCCTTAAACGCCCACTCTTGGCATAGGCCTCCCCTGTTAATCTCCATTGGTCTCTATTCTTGGCGATCTGCATCCAGTCCCTGCCGTTCTCTTAAGGTCGTCAATCCATCTCATCTGTGGTCTTCCTCTTTTTCTTTTCTTTTCCCATGGTCTCCAGTGTAGAATTCGCTTATTCCATCTTTCATCTTTTTGCCGGAGAGTGTGACCGGCGAAGTTCCATTTAAGTTTTGCAACCTGTCTTGATACATCGTTCACCTTTGTTTTTTCTCTGATCCATGAGTTTCTTTTCCTGTCTTTAAGACCGATACCCAGCATCTGTCTTTCCATTGCTCTTGGTGTTTTGGATATCCTGTCGATGTTCTCCTTTGCGAAAGTCCATGTTTGTGAGCCATATGTGATAACTGGTAAAATGCACTGGTTGAATACTTTCGTTCGCATATATTGAGGGAACTTTTTCTTTTTTAGAATATAATGATAGTTTACCAAATGAGGCCCATGCTAGTCTAGTTCTTCTTTTTATTTCTTCTGTTTGATTGTCCCTGTTTAGCTTTATTATCTGTCCTAGGTATATGTATTCTGCCACCTGCTCTAATTTATTTGTTTGACTACTATTTCTAATTGGTCTTCTTGGTTTTTCATAGTCTTGGTTTTACTATAGTTCATCTCTATACTTACTATAGACCTCTGTCGCTTTTCTATCTAGTTCCTCAACCATCTTCTGTAACTCTTCCTTCTTATCTGTCATCAGGACTATATCGTCTGCATATCTCAAGTGGTTCAAGAGCTCTCCATTTATTCTTTCCGTATGTATCCCATTCTAATTTTTTAAATATGTCTTCCATAGCCTGATTGAACAATTTTGGCGATATTGTGTCTCCCTGCCTGATTCCTCTTTCGAATCTTATTGGTTCTGTAGCGTGTTCGTTCGTCAATTTTATTGTAGTACTCGCATTTTTGTATATGTTTGTTATTAGGTCCGTGTACCTGTAATCAATTCTGCCGTTCTGTAGTGAGTTTTTGATGGCCCAATGTTTTATGTTGTCAAACGCATTTCGGAAGTCTATGAATGCCATGTATAATGGAATTTGATACTCGACTTTTCAATCAGTATTTTTACTGTTAGCAGATGGTCGCTAGTACTAAAACCCTTTCTGAATCCCGCTTGTTCTCTTGCTTGGTATTCGTCAAGCTTAGTTTTTAGTCTATTTCTCATGATCTTCGTTAGTAGTTTAAATACAACACTTAATAATGTTATAGGTCTATAGTTTTCTAAGTTCTTTCGGTCACCTTTTTTGAACATTAATAGTGTCTCCGCATCGTTCCAGCTATCGGGTATTTCTTTTGTGGTCAATATTTTGTTCATTAGATTATGAAAAGGCTTTAGACAGCATTGAACACTGGGCGGTTGAAGAAGCTCTGGTCAATAGTAGAATAGATTCAAGATACCGACAATTGATACATGATATTTACCAAAACGCAACCATGACCGTAATTCTGGACGACAAATTAATAACGGATAATATAAAAGTTAAACGAGGAGTCCGACAAGGCGATATAATTTCACCTAAACTGTTTACCTTGACCCTCGAAGGCATAATAAAATCAACAAATTGGGAAAACAGAGGAATATGTATTAACGGAAAATACCTAAATCACCTTAGATATGCGGATGATATACTCCTGATCTCCTCGAAACGACAAGAACTGGAATTAATGCTGAATGAACTTCATGAAAAATCACTGCAAAAAGGCCTAAAAATTAACTTCAACAAAACAAAAGTAATGACAAACACGGAAGACCAAGAGGCAATAAAAATAAAAACAGAAAAAATAGAACAGGTAAATGAGTATATCTATCTAGGACAAGCAATCAGAGCTAATAGAGAAAATCAAACAGCCGAAATATCGAGACGAGTAAGAATGGGATGGGCAGCGTTCGGCAAACTTTCTTACGTTCTAAAAAATCAAACAATCCCTCTATACTTACGAAGCAAGGTATATAACTCCTGTATCATACCGGTGCTCACCTACGGAGCACAGACATGGACATTTACACAGGCCAATTTGGATAGGATAAGGAAGGCACAAAGAGCGATGGAAAGACAAATGTTGGGTGTATCACTTAGAGATAGAAAACGTAACCAGTGGATCAGAACCAGAACAAAGACAGTAGACGCGATAGAACAAGCAGCAAAACTAAAATGGAAATGGACTGGACACAATGAACGTGTCCAAGACGGACGATGGAACAATGCCATCGGAAAGTGGCGTCCATACAATGCAAAGAGATCCAGAGGCAGACCACAGATGAGGTGGAAAGATGACATCAGGAAACAAGGAGGTCCCACATGGCAGAGAACAGCTCAAGATAGGGAAAGATGGAGAGAACTGGGGGAGACCTATATCCAACAATGTAAGGATAGAGAATAGGTTCAAAAAAAAAAATTGTTCATGAGGATATGTAGGACTTCTCTAGTTGTTTTCCCTCATCTCTTCAGCATCTCTGCAGTTATTCCATCTTTTCAGGTGACTTATGGTTTTTTAATTCTTGAATTGCTTTCTTGATTTCTGTTTTACTTATTTCTGGTTGTAGGTCAGAGTTTATATTGTTTATTTTTGTGTTTAATTGTTTAAGAATTTCTTGTTGTGGTTTATGTCTTGTTCTGTATAGGTGCGTATAGTATTCTTGTGTCAACTTTATTATTTGTTTCATATCATTAATGGTTGTTCCTTCGCTGTTTGTCATTTCATTTGTCTGAGTTTTACTGAGTCGTTGTTTTAAGCATTTCATATTTTTGTTCTGCTGGATTACTCTTTCAATCTTTGCTTCCTGCGTTTTTCTCTTGGTTTCTTTTATGTTTTTTCTAATTGTTTTATTGATTTCAGTATATTCTACTGTGTTTTTTGCCCTGTTTAAGTAGGCTTCTTCTTGTCTTCATCAGGTTTTCTACTTCTTCTGAGATATAATTGTCCTTTTTGCCGTTGATTTTGCAATTCTTTCCCGGTCTGTAGCAATGTAGTTATTAGTATTTCATTTATTTCGTTTGTTTCTTTATTTATTAAGTCAGTTGTATTTGGGATGCATTTTTTATTTCTTCTTGTACTTTTCTTCGTTTTGGCTAAGTTTCTCCATATCTAGTTTTTGTACGTTTTTGATTTTCTTTCTGGTTTCAAATTGGCTGTTAATTTGTATCTTAGCCTTCACCATTCGGTGATCGCTGCCTGTTGTGAAACGGTTTAGCACTGTGACATCCTTGACTACGTATTTTTGTGTTGATAATATGTAGTCGATCTCGTTCTTAGTTTTGGTGTCAGGGCTTATCCAGGTCCATTTTCTCTGTGGCTTCTTGTTGAAAAAGGAGTTCATGGCGTAGAGTTTCCTTTCCTTCATGTAGTTCATCAGGGTTGTTCCTCTTTCGTTTCGTACACCATATCCATTTTATTTTGTTCTTGCATTGTCTTGTAGCTTGGCGTTGAAATCTCCCATCACAATTGTTAGTCGGGTCTTTTCTTCATCCAATGCTTTTGATATTTCTTCATAGAATGTTTCAATGTCTTCATCTGAGTATGTACTGGTTGGTGCGTATATCTGAATTAGTTTCAAAGTTGTTCTTTTAAATTTAATTATCATATAAATCTCTGACTTAACGAATTTCACATATCTGGATCGATGTATAACATATATTTCAAAGTTGTATCTTCGACGCCATAGCCTATTTTCATTTACGGTCCCAAAAATCTTTCCAATAATTTTTTTCTCAAAAATACCAAGAGGTCTTTCATCATTTTGAGATAAGGTCCATATTTCAGCCTCATATATCAAAACCGGTGTTATTAAGGTGTTGTATATAATGAGATATACTGCACGTTTTATATTTTTATTTTTTAAATGTTTCTGGAGACTGTGAACAGTTCTGTTTGCTATTGCTATGCGTCTTTTTATTTCTTCGCTTGTCGTGTTATGTTTACTAGCGATCCAAGATATGTGAATTCTTTGACTTGCTGCAAGGTATGATTGTTAATTTAAATTCTGTTTTGGGTATTTTGGGGATTTTTAGAAACCAACATATATTTGGTTTTTTCCTCGTTTACCACAAGTCATAATTTACTTGCCTTGTCCGTAAGTCTTGTAAAGCATTGCACCATGCCTCTCATACTTTTGACCACTATAACTAAACTCGACCTGATACTACATGATGTATCATGTGATTTGTCATATGATTTTGCCATAAGCAGTGTCATGTGGCTCGTCATAGCTTGTCACAGGAGAATAGGACGGTACCTATTCCGCATGATAAAATCATATGATTTTCGGTAGTAATACCGGTAACAGCAACATATTTAAATATCGTGCCTGATTCTTATGTCAATTCAGCGACATTCCCTTACCGAGAGACAGCATCCTTTATTTAGTTATTTTTTGTTTGTTGCATTGACATTGAGCCTATTGTCTAGTATGTGCTATTGTGTCGTATTTTTCTTTTATTATTTATTTAGTATATTTTATTCTTTTATTCTTAGTTTAGTGTTTTATAGTCATCTTAGTCATGGTTTTAGTTTAGTTTCTTGATTAATTATTTTTAATTTGGTATAATATGCACACTAAATTTTATATACCCCCTCCATTATTTCTTCGTAAGAACCACCTGCGAGCCCAATGCAAGCAAAGATTTATTTTCCATTATAATAGTTTAACAATCTACTAGTTGTTACCTATACTGTGTCTTATATCTCTATGATCATAAACAAAAAGAAAAATCAATAAAACCCTATTGTCACTTATATCATAAGTCATAATATTATTCAGAGTAAACACGATTTTTTAAAACATCATCGAAACGAAGAATCATAAAAAATCTCACATGATATTGTCATAATCATAAAATTATGTAGTGTAAAGTCGACATAAATCGTCAGCGAATGCGAGAATTTGCGTCGATCTATTAAAAATAGTTTCATTTATTCTAATATTTACCCGCCAGCGCATCCCCCTGTCTTAGACCATTATTAATGGCAAAGAACCTATAGTTTTGTCCTTCAATTCTAAGGCATGAGCTTACGTTTTGCATTGTTAGTTGGGTTACATATTTTTAATCGTGGTATAAATACTCGACAGCTATTATTTAAGGATTTATAGTATTTTTCGTTTCATTATTATCGAATACCGTTTGTATTACTACTATATGTACCACTTTTAACACTGAAGTTTAAAAAACAAAAATGATCCTCAAAAATAAAAGTGGATGTTCCCAGAAGATATAACACTTTACGAAGAAAATATTAAGACTAGTTTGGATACACACGACTTAGAGAATATCAGCATCAATGAAATGAACGATAATATTACTCAAATATTGAAAGAAGCTGAAAAGAAATACTGTCCTCGTCCTGAAAACAATAACAAAAAATTAAGCCACAACACAAAACTTCTTCTAAAGGAAAGAAGAAAACTTGGAAAATCAGGATTATAACCAAAATGAACTAAGAATTTTGAATAAGAAAATTAAAAAGGAAGTTAGAAAAGATCTGAGACGATACAATACGATGGAAATAACTAGAGTAATAGAAGAAAACAAAAGCTTGAAAGTACTCAGACAGAGCATGTCCATTGGAAGAAAAAACGTCCACAAATTAAGAAATGGACAGGGGCAAATCATTGAGGATAGAGTTCAAATTATGAACACGATAGAGAGTTTTTATAGACAACTATACAAAGAACAGCAATGTAACCGGAGTGGATCATTACCAAAGATAATCAATCAGGGATCTGAAATTTTACCGGACGTAACACCCAATGAAGTTCAAAGGTTAGTGCAAGAAATGAAAAACAATAAGTCCCCGGAAGCGATGAAATAGTGGCTGGAAAAAGATTATGACAGGTCCTTGCCAAACTATTCACTCGATGTTTGCAAGAAGCAATAACACCAACCCAGTGGTATAACGCAGAAATTATCATACTTCATAAAAAAGGGGATGCTACCGACCTCAAGAATTACAAGCCCATAAGTCTACTTTCATATATTTATAAACTATTTACAAAAATAATTACGAAACGACTAGAAAATAAATTGGAATTTTATCAGCCCATAGAACAGGCGGGTTTTAGAAAAGGCTATGGAACAAACGATCACCTACTGGTAATAAAAAAATCTTAAAGAAAATTGCACTGAATATAATAAACCACTAGCTTTAATATTTGTCGACTATGAAAAGGCATTCGACACCGTAAATCAACAATAAATGTTAGAAGCCTTGACAGAATGCCGAATTGACTATCGGTATATAAATATAATTAAACACATATACCAAAACGCAACAGCAAGTGTTAGAGTGGGTGATCGTCAAATCCAGAAATTCCCGATACAACGTGGAGTACGCCAGGGGGACACCATATCGCCGAAACTGTTCACTACGCTTTTGGAATATATATGTAAAAGGGCAAAACTGACCGACAGGGGCATACACATAAATGGAGAAAAGCTTAGCCATCTAAGGTTTGCAGATGATATTGTACTAATAGCTGATAGGATAGATGAGGCCAAAGAACTTTTAAATCAGCTCTACCTTTCCTCGCTAGAAGGGGGATTGAAAATAAATATATCTAAAACCCAGATGATGACAAATCTTGTAGTCAGCGAAGATATATGCGTAGGAACAAGATCCATAGACCAGGTAATGGCCTATAAATACCTAGGTCATGAGATCCGTATAGGAAAAGATAACCAAACCGTTGAGCTTCTCCGTCGTATAAGACTGATTTGGGCAGCCTTCGGCAAGCTGAACCATATTTCCAAATCGTCTGATATACCAATATGCCTTAAAAGAAAAACCTTTAATCAGTGTGTTTTGCCAGTGTTGACTTACGGTGCGGAAACGTTGACCATGACAAGGACAACAGTTCAAAAGATCCATGTGTGTCAAAGGGCGATGGAGCGTGCTATGTTGGGCGTTTCACTACGAGACAAGATCCAAATCGCCAGCTACGACAAAGAACAGGAGTGGCTGATGCAGTAGATAGAGTAGCAACACTGAAATGGAACTAGGCAGGTCACGTGGACAAAGCGGTTATATATCTTTTTAAAAATTGTAAAAACTGTAATAACTTTTGATAGATATCTTATAGAAGGGTTCAGTGGCGTACAAGAATTTTTTTATGAGCGTACTAATCCCTGACAGTCTTATTTAGCAATAATAAAATCGGTAAATATCTAACTTACAAAATAAAGTCAATACTTACTTATCTGCTTATTGTTGGTTCAAAGTGAATTAGGTATTTTAGCACCACCCCACGAAAAAACGGTCGAACACGTCGATTAGTGTTCGACCGTTTTTTCGAATACTCCCTCATTTATTTATTATCTAATTTATTCCATTTGGCCGACACACAATGTATACTTATCTGCTTGAAGAATTTATTCTGACTAAAAGATCTGCGAGTGTCTGAATAATAAATGTTTATGCTAATAAAAAGTTTAAATAACTTTTAAGGAAATTAAATCTAAATCCTTTCTTTCTAAATTAAATTATTATACCTTTTTGATTAGACACCCAAAATAGTTCATATTCAGAATCTTTTATTTAATTATTATGCACATATTTATTCTACGAGGTTTGATGTAATTCTACTTTTGCGATATCTCTCTTAAAACAAGAACAGCATATTTTATTGATTTTATTTATTTAATTATTTATGTTGGGTCTTATAGTGTATTCTTCTCATCGTTTTCATTTGTATTCTTAGTTAGAACCCTTCATTCAATGAAATTCATCTTCAGATATATCCTCAATAAAGAAAACCATTTACGAAAATGACGAATCAATGCTAATGGTCCGAAACCCAAAGAGATTCAGACAAATAAGTGGAACAGTGCAAACAAATATAGAAATGACTGGTCCTGATGAAGTAACTGACGATATTTTTACAGCAGTGATAAGTCAACAAAACCGAATTAAAAATTTGGCAAAGGATTAAAATATTTAGATTCCTTGATAAATCTTAATCCATCTGAAATATTTAATTCGTGAGGTCACTCTTATAAGGAAGGATTAATTATTTTTAATACGATTAACTTCTACGAAGAATTGATAATGTTATCAAAAATATTTACAAAAAGAGTATAATTTGTGTAGTTTTATAAAAATTAAGAATAGCATTAAACAATTTTTATCCCCCTCGATTAATTTGTTTGACTAAATGATTTATTATATTATTTACAAAAAATTCTGGTAAATAAAACAATATGTTCAAATTTAAGCTAAAAATTCGCGAGGAATTGTTTATTTATTTAGCTGAACAAGCCTCGAAGACGTATTGCTTAAAAATTATAATCTTTAATAACATAATAGAAAATTAAAAATCCTAAAAGCAAAATATACCTTTTAAAATAAAAAAAAAATAATTTTATTCTCCACCATGTTTTCTCCACCTTGCTCTATCGTGTTGAAGCCTGGACAATGACAGAAGCAACACAAAAAAGAATCCAAGCATTCGAACCCTGGTGTTACCGTAAAATGCTCAGAATATCCTACATGAGCCATACGACAAATGAGGAAGTCTTGCGGAGGATGAATAAGGAAAGAGAGCTTATGCTTATAATAAAAGAACGGAAAACACAATATTTTGGTCCACATCATAAGAAATCAAAAGTATGAACTGCTCCAACTTATAATCGAAGGCCAAGTCAATAGCAAAAGAGGACCAGGAAGAAGACGCAACTCTTGGCTTAAAAACCTACGGCAATGGACGAACATGACCTCCATAGAACTATTCAGGGCTGCTACAAATAAGATTAAATGGACAAATGTAATGGCCAACGTCCTTAAGGATAAGGCACCGTAAGAAGAAGATTCTCCACAAGGAAATTGAATTATCTGTATTCGACAGTATATACTATGAATCACAAAAATTTTATTTAAAAATTAGTGAAGTCACCAAATATATGGTTAAAAACAATTTAATTTTATTTTTTATTACATTGCTGCTAATAAATTTATATGATGTTAAAGTTTTAAACAGATTTATTTCATAGCGACGCAAGACTCCTAATTAGGGATGCTGGCCCTGTACCGTAGTCTCTATGTGAACCCTAACTAGCAACTCTAGAATTGTTGTCAAGGATTGTTGTTACAGCGAATTAGTAAACAATCAAAAAGAAATGTTTCTTACACTTTTTCAAAGTTACTTTTGTAATAAGAATACAAATAACAGCATTTTAATTTTACTTTTAATCTTGTCATATGTGTTAAAAATATTACTGTCATCAATGTTACTTAGAATATTTTATTACATACTATGTTTCGTATGTTTCAGCTGTGTGTCCGCCACGAGATGGTCAGGTATCAGTCTACCATCCTCATGAAGATTGTACAAAATTTTGGCAGTGTTCAAATGGGATCCCTTATTTATTCAACTGCCCAACAAACCTTTATTTTAATACAAAATTAAATGTTTGCGACTGGCCTTACAATGTTCAATGCCCCTCACCTACAAGTAAGACTAATTTAAAATATATACAAGATTTATAGTTCATAAAGCTATATTAAAAAAATCTGTATTCTACCTACTATTTATTTTTAGCTCAACCAACAACAACTTCAACCAACAAACCTCCAATAGTGACCACAAAACAACCCCCACCTGTGATAACAACCACTCAAAAAACCCCACAGCTTTCTGAAAGTACCGCAACAACTAAATCTGACACAACTTCCATCTTAACAAGTTCACAATTTACTACTATAAAAACGTCTTCAATCGGAACAATATCTGTTAATACAGAAGTACCTACTAGTACCTCAAAAGTTACTACTGCTAAAGTTACTAGCACATCAACAACTGCATCTAACACTGACGAAACTACGGATAAATCTACCGTTATAAGTTCAGAACCTACTATAAGTGCCAGCTCAAAGCATAGCACTCTTTCAACCCGTGTTACTACTACCTCAAATATTTCTACAATGTCCTCTTTTAAAACTAGTACTTCACAAAGTACTTCAGAGCCTTCAACCTTCCAGACTGTACTAACTTCAGATGTAAGTAGTTCATACTCAGAACTACCAACTACTGTGGAAACATCGTCGGTCACAATCCCAATAGTCTCATCAGAAAAAACTTCTAAATCTTCTCCACATAATTCTGAATATTTAACACTGCCTTCTACACAAAGCAGTAAGACCGATACCACTTGGATAAGTACCAAATCTACAACTTTTACTTCTTCAGAAACTACTACTATTTCTGAGTCGCATTCATCATTTACTACATCACAAGCTAGTGATGAAGTTGATATTACAGATACAACAAATGATAAGTTGACTTCAGAAACCTCAGAAATTACTACAACCACGACAATTCTAGAAGATGATACTACTACAGAGATTATTTCAGAAGCTACTGGCCTCATAAATGATACAAGTCATACAACAGACAATCAGAATATACCAAATTCTAGCAAAACAACTATACCGGAAAAATTTACAGAAGGTACAACTATTACAGAAGCTACTTACAGTACTAGTAATGAAGACAATACTACAGATGAAACAACTACTACAGAAGCTACTTACAATACTAGTAATGAAAACAATACTACAGAAATAAAAGAAGATGCAAGTATGACTTCTACATCAACAACAGACAACGATAATATACCAAATTATAGTAAAACAACTATAACAGAAGAAACAACTACTACAGAAGCTACACACAGTACTAGTAATGAAGGCAGTACTACAGAAACAAAACAAGATACAAGTAGAACTTCTACGATCAACAACAGATAATGATTATATACCAAATTCTAGTAAAACAACTATAACAGAAGAATTTACAGAAAACAGTACCACTAGAAAAGCTACTGATAGTACTAATAATGAAGACAATACTACAGAAACAAAAGAAGATGAAAGTATGACTTCGACATCAACAGCAGATGGTCCAAGGAGTACCAGTACAACATATGTAACCAGTATCAGTACAGAAACAGAAGAAATTGTAACAGATAATAGTAGTACTATTGATACAAGTGAAACAGACAGCACTTTAATAACTACGGAATTTATACCTAACGAAGAAATAACAACGCGAAGTGACCATACTAATAGTGCTTCTAGCATAATTGTTGATGATACAACTTTTGAGACAACAACAGAAAAATCAATCGATGTAAGTACAGGTAGCACCACGGATAGTATTGCCAGTACTACAGAATTTTGCACAACAGACCAATCTGTAGAATATGATTCAGATAGTACTGTAATTACAGATGAAATCAGTTCCACTAGTAGTACTATCGTAAGTAGTGCTTCTACTACTATTAGTAGCACTATCGCAAGTAGTACACCTACTAGTAGTAGTACGGCTATATCTAGTAGTACCATTAGGACTACAAGAGCAAATGAAAATCTCGATTATATTTGTCAAAATAATCCTGGCCAATATTTTCTTACAGCTCATCCTAACAATTGTGCCGCATATATTGCTTGTGCGTTTGGAAAGGCAATCCCTTACCGCTGTAATAACGGACTCTGGTTTAGTAGCGCAAACTTGCGATGCGTGGAGCCGCATTTATCGGACTGTAAATTAATCGACACGACATCGATAAGAAGTGGTGCACCCTTTATCCCGACTACTACAGAAAATAATGAAAAGGCTCAAACAATATGCTCCGATTTTAATAAAATATCTTTTAATTGCCATCCTGAAGATTGTACCAAGTTTATTGTTTGTGTTTATGGTCTAGAGTATGTTATGGATTGTCCATCGGGACTATGGTTTGATCAAAATTTGGAAGAATGTGTTTATCCACAAGACACTAAATGTTTGGCTGTAAAAAATAGACATTTGTCGGCTTTACTAATATTTATAGATTAAATGATTGTATAGTTTACTACTTTTTATTTAAATACAATTTCTGTACTTTATCCCTCCAACTTCATCCTATCACACTTTTTAGTCGAGTCAGTAGATAGATAAGGTGGGTAAGTTCACTTTTTAAGATGGCGGCCGTACCATCATCAGAATGCCAGCTCACATATTAACCCCACGACGCAAGTCCAAAATTTTTATTAAAGATAAGGACTTGTAACAAAAGTTTTATCAAAAACTAATCACAAAGACTGGGTACAGCGTAGTAACATTTGAACAGCACCCTAGCAAGGAAAATAGCCACCGAATTACGCTTAGCATACCAGAATTAAATTAAATCGTAGAAAGAAAGATACAGTGAGAAAGAAGAGGAAACGTGGAAAACTGTCGGAAAATTAGGAACAAAAAAAAGGAATTAGTCCAGTCGTCAGAGAGTTGACCCGTGCCTTCGCTCATACGAACAAGCTGAATTTTGCCGTGAATATTAAATTTGGGAGAACAAAAAGATGCAGAAAAGTTTACCACTTTTACCTCTGATCTTTCCCGTTTCTTCTTCTTCTAAGTGCCATCATCCGCGACGGAGGTCGGCAATCATCATAGCATATTCAGGACTTTTGAGACGGCTTCTCTGAAAAGTTCATTTGATGTACATCCGTACCACTCTCGCAGGTAGCGCAACCATGACATTCTACGCCTGCCTGTGCTTCTTTTTCCTTTGATCTCTCCCTGCATAATCAGTTGGAGCAAGGTGTATTTCTCTCCACGTGTAATATGTCCCATATATTCCAATTTTATTGTTTTAATTGTATTTAAAATTTCTTAATTCATTCTTCTCAGAACCTCTTTGTCTTTGACATGTTCTGTCCACGATATTTTCAGAATTCTTCTATACACCCACAGCTCGAATGATTCCAGTTTTTCATTGATGTCACACTCAAGGTCCAAGATTCCATACCATAAAAAAAGTCGAAAAAACATAGCACCTCACCAACCTAACTCTTAGTTCCAATTTTAAATCTCTTGTTCATAGCACTCTTCTCATTTTGTTGAAATTTGCTCTAGCCTTTTCTATTCTGATTTTGATCTAAATGCAATCATTTGTGGAGGTAATTATTGTTCCCAGATATGCATATTTGTTCACTTGTTCGACGTTGGTTCCGTTTATTAGAAGATTCTCGTTATTTCTTTAAGTTTTCGATATTTTCATAAATTTCACTAGATCACAGTATCGTCTGCATATCTAATGTTGTTAATAGGAACTCCATTTACCTTTATTTTAGCTGTTTCAGCCTCAAGACCTTTTTTCAGAATCTCTTCGGAGTAGGCATTAAAAAGAATTAACGACAATACGCATCCCTGTCTTAATTTACGTCTAATTTCAATTTCTTCTTCTATGTGTTAACGACAGCTGTTCGTTAACACATACTTTTGCTCGCTGTTTATAGTATAAATTTGATATGATTCTGAGGTCGTTGTAGTCAATCTTCTTTGATTTCAGGACATTCATTATGTGTTCATGTGGTACTTTATCGAATGCTTTATTATAGTCAATAAAATATGCGTATATAGGGGATTACAAACCTCGAAGGGGGGTTAAAAATAAAAAATCGATTTATCAAGAATCTGTACGCCGTAGAAAAAAATGTTTCAAATAAAAAAATGTAGCTGAGATGACTTTAAACGAAAATGTTTATTAGCACTTTTTGTGTAGATTCTTATGAGATTCTTATAGTCTCTAATTATATCACATGTAATTCTCAGAAACAACGTTTGAAGCGACCGTTGGTTTTGAATATCAGTTACGTGCGACGAAATCAATGTTCGAACGTAAATCGATATCTTGTATCCAAGTCTCGACGGAAAAATTCGATCCTTTGATCCAGTTTTAAAGGTAAAGAGTGCAGCTTTCGTATGTAGTTTTTTATTTTGCTGCGAATAAAATCAGATTTTATAAAGGTGTTAAATAAATAAACGTGGCGCGATTTCTGCCATTTTTTAAGATTCTCATGAAATCAATAAAATTGATCACTTTCGTTTACCAGTCCTAGTAAAATTTTAATTTTAAGAGATTAATCTTTAAAACCTATGCCATGAAACTTAAATTTTGTGTTGTGGCAACAAATATAAGGCATTTAAAATATGAACAAATATCTCAGAATTTTTTACATTTCAAATGTAAAACGTAACAGGAACTGCCTCCAAGTAGATAGTTTTAGGTGTAGTTTATAGCAAAAGTTTTTTTAAGAAACGTACCTGTTTTATTGAGAAAAAAGTTTTAAACGTTTTAGATTGTTTGCTACAGGAAAATTTAAATCCAGCGTTTTATAAGCATATTGTAAATGCGTGACATTTGTTGCCAAAACTCAAAACTAAAATTTCATGCATAGTAGTAGTTAGTAATTGAAAGTTTAAGGCTCATAACACTGTTGTATTGATTATAAAACGCCACGCTTTATAAAATCCAAGTTTACTTCCGGCAAAATACAAAAATTGCATACGAAATGTTAACTCTTTACCTTTAAGACACATAGATTTTTGTCTATAGGACACTTTATTCAAAAAATATCTAATTTTTATCGTCCAGCTGATACAAATCTTATTGAACATTGATTTCGCGCAAGTAACGGACATTCAAATCGACGGTCACTTCAAGCGTTGTTTCTGAGGGAACGGTTCATTCTACACAAAACGTAATAATAAATATTTTTGTTTAAAATTATTTCAGCTACATTTTTTATGTGAAAGATTTTTTCTAAGGGCGTACAGATTATTGTTAAATCGATTTTTTTGCGTTTTTACCCCCCTTATATGGGGGGTTTTGGGTGGAAGCCCGGAGGCAAATCTGGTGAACTTTTTTGCATCTTTTTTGGGGTCCCAAAATTATTATTCTTGGCAAAATTCAGCTTGTTCGTATGGTTTTTAGAGGTTGAGTGGCATTTTCGTCTCTGACTACTGGAGTAAATATAAAAATACCAAGATTTGCTACTAATTTACAGAGGCAAGTCAGAGAAGATCAGCTAGAACAACTGTAGAGAAGACAAAAAAAGAGAAGTGAAGTGAATGCTACACAACAGAAAGAAACAAAGCACTTATATAAGGAACAAAAATATATAGAAAACTTTAACAGAGACAAAGAATTCAGAGTATTCTATAAGACAGTTAACATTAACAGAAAAGAATTCAAGGTAACCTCAAACCAACGCAGAAGTCTGTACGGTGAACTATTATCAACAAGGAAAATTGTAATAATCGATGGGAGAAATACTTAATTAGGTACTTATATAGCTGAACATATATAAGAGGAACAATACGAAGTAAACCTGAAAGATGAAAGAGATGAGATAAACGGAACGGACGAGAGGTAAAAGTTGGTGGTTCACCAACGATGTTTGGAGTTAAAGACGCAGTTAAAAAACTAGCCAAAAACAAACAACCTGGAATAGATAATCGTCCAGCTGAACTATACAAAGGAGTTCCGTGATGAAACACAAATTTAAACAAAAATATTTGGGAACCCTACAAAGTCGACGTCAGATAATTACCTATCCCGTATTACAGTTTTTAAGCGATATAAATGTTTAAAGAAAAGAAGAAGAATATTAAATATAACGAGTGATCCGGGTTATGCTGCCTGTGGCTCCAAAAAT